GGCGGTGACAGCAGATATGCAGAGGGAGGATCTCAAGGTCATTGGTGTCAGGGTGAGGAGCAGGATCAGTGCCTGGACCACCATCCCCAAACACAGAAGACGCCTCAGAACCTTAACTACTGTCCTTCAAGGTGGGCCTCAGAGAGATGCTTGTCTTGGGTTTGAAGTGTCTACTTGAGAGCAGCAGAGGGGAGTGGGGGAGGGGGTGTCTTGTCAAAATTAACATGATGATCCTGAATGTGACTCGAAAGCACTTGCCAAACCCAGAAACCATGGTTCCCCCTTGGCAGGCACTGCCGTCACCCCATTAAGTCCAGGTAGGGCTGTATGGCTGTGTCCTAGGTACTGTCTAACCTGCTCTGCAGGGTTCTGAGAAACCAGGCGACTCAGAGAGGAGCCCTGTGGGTTCCTGGAGCACTGACTGCCCTCAGACCTGCAGAGGCGGCCTTGGTGAAGGGCAAGGTGGAGTCCCCCGGCAGAGGTGCACACACCATGTCACTCTTCCTCTTCCAGGTGCTGGTATCACCCTCTCTGCCCACACTGGTGCCTGCTGTGCCTCCCCTGTGTCATCATGCCTCGTAGTCGGAAGAGTAAGCCCCGTGCCAGCGGGAAACGCCCCCAGGGTGGAGATGAGACTGAGAGTCTCGGAGTTGATCAGGCCGCTGCAGCAGCAGCAGCAGAAGAGTCCACTCCCTCCTCTCCTCAGTGTAAAGGTAATCCCCAGCGTCTGTCTGCTGTTGGGTAATGTAGCATTTCCCAGGGGCCTCAGTGCACACTAACCAACAACATTACTTCACAGGCATTTCTTGCCCTGGATCTGATGAAGCTTCCCGCATCCAAGACAATAATGAGGCAGGCGCCTCTGAGGCCCCCCCATCCAATGAGAGCTCAGACACAGATAATTTATCCAAGGTGGCTCAGTTTTTGGAGCATTTCCTTCTGTACAAGTATAAAAAGAAACAGCCCATTCTGAAGGAAGACATGCTGAAGATTATTGGCGAATATTACAAAGACAAATTTCCTGACATCCTCAAGAAAGCCGCTGAGCGCATTGGAACCATCTTTGCATTAGATGTGAAGGAAGTCGACTCCAGCAACCACTTATATGACCTTGTCAGCCAACTGAAACTCCCCAATAATGGGAGGGTGATTGCTGGCAGGGGGTTCCCCAAGACCGGTCTCCTGATGAATGTCCTGGGTATGATCTTCATTAAGGGCAACCGTGCCACAGAGGAGGAGATCTGGGAGCTCCTGAATCCGATGCGCATATGTCCTGGGAGGAAGCACTGCATCTACGGGGAGCCCAGGAAGCTCATCACCAAGGATTTCGTGAGGCTGCAGTACCTGGAGTACCGCCAGGTGCCCGACAGCGATCCTCCACGCTACGAGTTCCTGTGGGGCCGAAAAGCTCACGCTGAATTAAAAAAGATGAAAATGCTAGAGTTTTTGGCAAAGATCAATGATACCGTCCCCAGTGCTTTCTCAGGCTATTATGAAGAGGCTTTGCAAGA